TGTGTGTGTTTCTTTTTCTTATTCTGGTTTGTTTGCCTGTCTGTGTTCTAAAGAGTAAAAGGACATAGAGTTGAGTGGGTGGGGAGGTAGGGAGGAAAAAATAAATAAAAGACAAACTATGGAGTAGAGGAAGAGAAGTAGGAAAAGAAGAATCAGAGCCAAAGGGAGGCGTGAGGGAGAAGCAGAGGAATGGCACAGGTTTCTTAAAGAAAGGCTCATTTAGCCACTCACTGAATACTTGAACCCTCATTAGGCCATCAGTAAAGCGCCTGACACAAAGCAGCAGATTTTTCACACTGAATGGTTCATAGTCTAGGGAGTGAGGAAGATTTGTAAGACAACCACAATATACTCTGGTACCTATTATAAATGTATGTTGATTAATCTTGTCAACTTGAAGGATTTTGGAATCACTTAGGAGACAAATCTCTGGACATGTTTGTGAGGACATTTCCAAAGAGGCTTAACTAGAAAGAAAACACCCACAATCACTCAGTGTGGGTAGAACCAGTCAATGGCCTAGAGTTCTGGACTGAATTCCAAAGAGGAAGAAGTTGAGTATGAAGAACTTATGTCTCCTAGCTTCCTGACTGAGGATGCGATGTGACCGCTATCTTACACTCCAATGCTTCCTGACTGAGGATGCGATGTGACCGGACACTCATGTTCCACCACATGTCTTTCCCACCTTGATGAACTTCTTCTACTCTCTCAAACTACCAGCCAAAATAAATCTTTCCCTAGTAAGTTTCTCTCTGTTAGCTACTTGGTTGCAGCTATGAGAAAAAAAAAAAGTAGGGTCTGGAAAGAAAGGAACTGCACCCAAAGCTGACAGACGACCCGAGTAACTCCTAGAACCCATAGAGCAAGATAAAACTCAAGTCTGAAAGTTGTCTCTGACTTGGGTATGCATGCATTTGCAAACTTATACAGTATTCTACTGTTCCTCCACAACAATATATATTATATATATATATTCACATAACATACACTTATATAAGGTATGTAAAGTTACATCACATATATATTACTGGAGAATGGCTTAGCAACCTGAAAACTGTAACATGTAATAAGAGGGGAAAGGAATACTAATCTCATCCACAGAGAAGCAGAAAGTGAGAGAGCCAAGGATCCATTTGAAGTCCAGGATACAGAAATCCACAATAACTAAATAAAGGCCGTATCTTTTAATACCAACAACAACAACAGGTCCACTTTACGTACCAACGTCAGAAGCTGGTGGTTCGCTTGCCTCACTAATTGAAACACTGTCATCAAGTCTGGCTTGTTGCTGCAGCGGAAAAAGCCCAGAGATAATTCTTGACATTATTTCTTGTTCTACCCTAGAAGTATAAAGTTAAATATACCTAAATTGGTTAAAAGTATAAAATGTTAACTATTGTCACCTTTAAGAATAAGCTGTCTATGCTCCTGGCACAGACATGTGAAAGCAGCCATATGAGTTGCATCTGGAAGGAAAAGAACTTGTCTTTTCTGCTAAGACAAGCCAGGGAACCCACTTCGAGCTTTCCATACCAGCCTGACAGAAAACTTCCTGTAACCCCCATACCCCCCATCCCAAATTAAGCATAAGATGTGGGTCTCTGATTATCCAGTGCATCGTGTACTTGAAAGGTGTGCTTCTCACTCAGAGCACACATCATATACAGTCACACCAGATCACAACAGTGAAGTTCACTGAGTAGAGTTTGGAACTGGATAAGCACTTAAAAGTATCCTCAAACTAGCCATGTAATGTTTCTATTTGTGAGTTAGTTAGAATAAAGTGATTTTATTTTTTAAAAAATGCAAGAAAAAGAACTGTTCTCTCAACAAAAACAAATACACAGACTGCAAGGCAGGGCAGAATCCTTTTCAAGGGTTCTTTTCCTTGAAAATAAAGAAAAAGGTTATTTCCAAGGTCCTTGTCAGGAAGATGAAAGGAAAAGGAAAAAGGAAAGAGCAGGAGACTCCTTTTAGTACACTTCTTTAGGGCAGCTAATATGCACATAAAAATTACTGCTGTAGAAATGATAGATGTTCATTGTGGAAAAATCAGAAAATGAATTGTTTTAAAAATTGGTAAGGTTCACTCATAATCCTAGATTCAACGATAAGTACAGATAATGATCTGATAGATATTTCAAACATTTGTTCAGTGCAAACTTATTTTAAGGTCATAAGCTAGGTTTACACTGTGTCTCTTGCTTTATTTAAACACCACTACAGTATCTTTTACTCTTACTGAATACTCCTCGAAGCCATTTCCATTTATATCTGCTATTCTGATTCTATATATGCCAATAGGATTAGAAACTTACCACTGAATTAAACTATTTTCCAATGTTTCTTTTCTCTCAATTACTTTATCCAAAATATCAGTAGTGGGATGAAAATTAGAAACTACTGGAGGAAATGAAGGACCATTATACTCTGTAGGAATGACCTTAACACTTCGGTTAAACTCCAGCACAGGTGCAGAGCATTCAGGAATTTCATCACGCTGGTCCTCTTCCTGGTAACATCACAAAAATAAAACTATTATATCCACGTATCTAGTCAACATGTACTCAGTGCCAAGCATAGGCAAAGAACTCAGCTGTATGAATTAACCGGCATTTACAAACCAGCCAATAACCTTTCTATTTAGGTGATAAGACATTAAATATAGCATACACACTACACTTATCACAAGACAGATATCAATCATACATGACATTGGAGAAAAATGCATTTATACAGTTTACTTTTTTAAAACTCAATGTTCAAATTCTGGGTGTAGTTCAGTGGTAGAACAGTTGTCTACCATGTATGAGGCCCTGGGTTTGATTCCACACTACCACACACACACAACATAAAAAATAAAATTCAATATTCATTCTATATAGTCATATAGCTAGAAAACATAGGGATTCTAGCATTAAACATTATGAAGTATCTAGAAATTTATGAACCTGAAATTTACATCTAAATATACAGTTAATCATATATTACTTTTATCATCATGCCACATCCCAAATTTATTTCTGTGATTTTTTTTAACTTTTCCTTATAAAAAATGTAACATCTTTAAAAACTAACAAAATAATACCTAGTTACTGCATGCTATATATAAATAATATGAATTATATGTATCTGGTCCCCAACTTCAACAACTATCAACTCATGGTCAATCTTGCCATCCCCTGTCCACTTTTTCTTTCATAGATCATATTGACCCAAATCACAGATATAATTTTATCTATTATTAAATAAGCATCTTAAAAATGTTCATTCTCTTTAAATATAACAGTTCATCAATACCCTATTGAGGAATAAAACCCTCAAGCAGTAAGACAAAGAGTTAGAGTAGAAGAAACCCTTGTCACTCAACCCCAAATTCATTCTTAACTCTATAACAGCTTCTTCCACTTGTACATTGAAAAATACAATTCAATTAGACAACAGCCAACAACATGCTAGACAGTAGGAATATAAAGACAAATAAGATTCCTAGCTTCAAAACATTTGTGCAGCATTCACACCAGGCATTGGTGGTGCACACCTTTAATCCCAATACTCCAGAGTCAGAGGCAGGTGGATCTCTGTGAGTTCGAGGCCAGCCTGGTCTAAACAGCAAGTGCCAGGACAGGCTCCAAAGCAATACAGAGAAACCTTGTCTCATAAAACCAAAAAAAAAAAAAAAAAAAAAAAAAAAAAAAGACGACGACGACGACGACGACGACATATGTTGGGTACATAAATACAATGCATAACCATGCATATTCTAAAGTAAGATTTTATTTATGTGCTATATGTGTGCAGGATCCAGCAGAGGTCAGAAAAAGGAGTTGGATTCTCTCCAACTGGAGTTATAGGCAGTTGTGAATCAACATGTTGGGTGCTGGGAACTGAACTCAGGTCCTCTGCAAGAGCAACAAATGCTCTTCAGTGTTGAGCCATTCCTCTAGCCCTTCAGTTTTCATTAACAAAATCAGTCTTAAGTTTGAAAGTTAAGGAATGTGAATGGCTTATTACTAATGCTAAATAACTTATTGTTGATGCCAAATGACTTACTAATAATACTAAAATATTCTTAGTCCTGTGTCTCCTTTATCATGTATTTTACTTTTTCCTATCTTTCTCTCCTATTTTATTGTTTTCATAATTTTGACATCCATATAGGGTATTCCTATTTATAACTTTTTTTCTCAAAATAAACCGAACTTTGGCTCCAGAAATCAAGTTAAATGGAATAAAATGGAGAAAGGAAAGCCAGAGAAATGAAGGCAGCAGTTATATTCCAGGTGGGAAATGGTGGACTATCATTAATTTTCTGAAGACAAAACTATACTATAGAAACACTTCATAATTTTTAAAAGAAATTTAAATAAGCATAATTAAAAGTTAAAGTCTATTTAGATCAAAGTAAAGACATATTTCTCAAGGTGCTGCAACACAGTTGTGATAGTCAGAACACATTCACCCAACTGGAAAAATATTTGTAGGAAAATGACTTCCTGTGTCTCTAAGCTTTGTTACCTGAAGAACATCAATTACTTCATCAAAATTAGTTCCTGGAAGCTTCGCCTCTTCTTTATCCACCTTCATAAATTCGGGAATCTAAAGAAATATCATAGTTTTATTGCCTTCAATTTAAAAATACATATAATTTATCAGATTTTCACATATATTATAATCTTCACATATCCCTATTATTTTAATATTCTATTCAGAACTGATTTAATTAGTAAATAAAATCCAGGTTAGTCTTCAATCCATTAGCTCATCATTTCAAGAACTATAGAACATTATTTTCAACAAAAAATATTTTAAAAAATTATCTGGAATCCATGGCAGAAGGGTTACTGTGAATTTCAAGTTGGGCTATTTAATGAGTTCTAAGATAGCCTGGGCTACAGTGTGAAACCCTGTCTCAAAAGGCAAACAACAACAACAACAAAATATATATATATATATA